GCGGGGGGGGGGGGGGGGGGGGCGGGGGTCTTATTTAACCTTCCTGAAAGTTAGACAATTTCTTCTAAATTCAAGTTGATAGAAAGATCTACTTTCCTTTGTCTTTTGTTTTATTTCTTCTTGTAGTTCCTGACTATGTATCTCAAACTGCATGTATATACTAATTAACTGGGGTTATAACTCTCCATTAGAGGATCAGTGCAATTTTGCAAAACAGTGTGATTTTGACATGTTAATCTAATTGTCTGTTGCTTACTGCTGTCAAATAGCGGGCATCCCCAACCTCAAATGGTTTGGAGTTGAGGGGGAATATAATATTATGGTTATAGACCTTCTTGGACCAAGTCTGGAAGATCTCTTCAACTATTGTAATAGGAAGTTCTCCTTGAAAACAGTATTGATGCTTGCAGATCAATTAGTAAGTAACTGGAATTTTTATAAGTTTTTCTTAGATTGTGGTTCTAGCTGCTAATTTTTGTTTTACTTACAGATTAATAGAGTTGAATACATGCATTCAAGAGGTTTTCTTCACCGTGATATAAAGCCTGACAACTTTTTGATGGGCCTAGGGCGCAAAGCAAACCAAGTATGCCTTTCTATCATTCTTAAACTTAAAACTCTGCATTGGATGAGCATGTTTAGGTTGTTACTAAGTATTTTGGTTTCATTTCATGAAATATAGAACACTTGAAGAGATGCTTGTTACGCAACTTAGTTGGCATAGTTATATATTTTGTTCTTTGTAACTTATCTGGCATAGTTAAGTATTTTTAACTTTGAACACGATTGGTAACTTCTTTCTAAATGTTCAACATTTATGGGAAACTTTCTCTTATTCCTCGTAAAAATCATAGAATCTATGCATAATTTGCCTTTCATTGTCATTATATTATACCATATTTGTTAGACTTTTGAATTGAATCTTACTTTTGGTTGACAGAAACTGTGATGAAATTGTTTCCTCCACTATCAATTTCCTCTTTCCTTCTCTTCCTGAAATTCATTAGAAGCCTAAAGGATTATGAAACACTTTGCTGACTTGCTGACTGCATTCCTTTTGTTAGTTAAAATATATAAATTTGACCATATGAAATAGTTTTCAGAAGGATTTGTATTGGTTTTATTTATTTACTGCAGGATTTGTTCTTAGCTTTCAAATACTTCAGAGGGTTGTGACATGGCCTTATCCTCTTATTTTTGTTGTTATGCATGTGCATGTGGAATTAAACTTGCGCGGTGAATATGTATCATACTTCAAAAAAATGTTATTATTTTACTTATAGGCAATTTATCTTTATAAGGATATGTTTTTCAAATGTGAAACTCATTGGTCTTGATATGTGCTTTGTATGCACTGCTGCTTGGTTTATGTTGGCATGTGATTCTAATTCTAACAATGTTGAAAATTGGTGGATGCCTAGTTATTCTAGGATCACAGGTAAGTTTTTAAAGTTGTTTTTCTATATTGATAAGAATGATCATATTTTATTGAGTGGTCGCTAAAGAATTACCATTTTAATACGTGTAGAAATTGAAGAAATAAGAGACAAAGCATCTTAGTGAAGCTTTTTATATGGAAAATTTACAACTTTGAGTTAGGGTTCATCGTAGTGTTCTTGCATATTGTTTTTATTTTTTGAGGGTATATATTCCATATTAGATTTGTTGTGTTGCTAGAATCTTTTAAGTTTTATCCATTATGAGTGATGCTGGAGGCATTTGTTTCAATTTAAGGTAGAACTTCTCTGACATGTACTTTCTATGGGATGTCAGTTTTAAATGGTTAAATACATATAATTGATCATGGCTAATTGCATCAATAAATGACGGCAGTAGCTGTTTGGGTGACGGTTACGGTATTTATTGCAGGTATACGTCATCGATTTTGGTCTTGCCAAAAAATATAGGGATCTCCAGACTCATAAGCACATACCTTATAGGTACTTTCCCATCAAATTTTAATTAGGTGAAATTGCATGATTGTCATTGTCTTCTTTGTGTGTTACGTTTTTCGTCTTCAAGTCTTCCAACCATTAGAAAGGGGAGTCTTCAAAAGTTGCACTGATTTGGATGGTCCAAAGTGAAAAATAATTGCAAACCATGCACATGTTTGGATAAAATTAAAATTTACTTTTCAAAATCAGACATTAATTTTAATTACACATTTCATGTCACCCACAACTACTACCTACTTATCCACCACTCATTTCTATCACATTACGATTTTGGAAACTTATAATATTATCCAAGTACTCAGAGTAACTCATCTTGTTATTGGAATCTGACTAACTAGTGGCTTAGGATTGCAAGAGAAGCATGGCATCTTTATAAAGGTTTTACAAAGGGAAATTAATTATGAAGTTTATCTGTCGGCCTATAACCAATATAGAATAAGCTCTGTGGCAAATTCCAGTGCGGGGAAGAAAGAGAAATATTATCTTGATGTTAAGATTATAAATTCTAAGGGTGTCCACTTGGTTTTGTTTGGTTTTGCTGATTTACCAGTCACGTAAATGAACAAAAGCTTGTTACCGAAGATATCTCTTTCTCTATAAAAACATCTAGGTGACTCTATTGAGCTGCTTAGTGCTCACTCTTTAGAATTTCGGGTTTTTATCCAAATGTGTGTCTGAATTGTTCAGATTGGTTGAATGCGTGCACTTGAGCATAGAAGTAAGTAATTGGCAACGTAGATAATGCATTTGAGCATTCTCATTTCTAATAACATTAAATCTATAACTTTTGATGTTCAAAATAATTTATAAACAGTTTACTTTCTGGTCTGGGAGTCATTTCTGGAACTCAATTATGCTCTTAAGTTCTTAGCTCACAAGTATCCTAACCATGCCAAACAAAAAAGGGATAGAAAGTGGGAGACACGACGGGGTGGGGGAGGCCTGAAATTCCATCAAAATAAAATATGCTATGATGCTTTTAGAAATAAAAATTGATGAAGCGTAGAAAGTTGTATGCCTGTGGTGCTCTATCTCTAGGCCTCACGGCCTCAACTAGATTAGGCATAAAGACAGCATAATATGAATGTCTTGCAATTAATCTTATTAAATATCGTCATTTGTTTGGTGGATCCTAATCTCTCTGGTACGTGATTGGCATTAGTGAGAATTTTTTGAGAATAACAAACCTTATATCTTTGGATATTTCTAATTGTTGTGTCTTATTTCTGATATTTTGTCATAATTGATCAGTTTTTGCCTTTGATTTACTTATTGTGCAAACTTCTCAACATTTTCTGATCCAGGGAAAACAAGAATCTCACAGGTACTGCTCGTTATGCCAGTGTTAATACTCATCTTGGAGTTGGTAAGTAATGCAATATGCTATCATAAGTTGTTTCTAGTAGGGAAACCTAACTTGTCTTTAATGCAATCTAATTTAGTTCAATATGTTCATCTATAAATTTTTGGCAGAACAAAGCCGGAGAGATGATTTGGAATCTCTTGGTTATGTCCTTATGTATTTCCTGAGAGGAAGGTTGGTTGGATATGAGGAATTCAATTTCCCTTTATACTTGTTAGGCATTTTTTCTACCAAGATGGAAGTTTTACTTGAATATTATTTCCATAATATTATTTTATTTTATTTTATTTTTATCTCAGCCTCCCCTGGCAGGGACTGAGAGCTGGCACCAAAAAACAGAAGTATGACAAGATTAGTGAAAAGAAGATGTTAACTCCTATAGAGGTATGTAGGTCATGAATTCGTATTACATATAAGTGATTCCCTGCTTGAAATATGTGTTCCAAAGCATGCCCAAAATGGTACATTAGTTAGGGCTGTAAGTAGGAGTTGACCATGTTTTGCCTCAGTGTAGAATCACTTGTGAGTTTAATTGTAAGTAATGAGTTTGAAAAATAGTTTTTTCAACTAATCAGAATAAGAAATGAGCACTAAGGTAAGCATTGCTTCAAAATAAGTAATTTTTTTTACTTCATGGGGCTTATTTGGATCTTAGCTTACAAGCACGAGAGATAAAAAAAGTCATAAGGTAACTTAGCAGAGCTTGTTTGTAACTAAGAAGCTTCTTACCCAGTTCATTTGAATAATTTTTCTGCTTAAAAATCTATACCTGCTGTGTTTTTGCGTGTCTAGGCTGATCTTGGTTATTGACATATGAGCTAAGTTTTCTTGCCTCAATTGTTTATCGTCAATGATGAAGTGTTTACTTCTGCACATTTTTATGCATAAGATGCAATTGAGGTTTTTCTTTATTATGCTCTGTGTGTAAATTATTTTAGAGTAGATTTGGTTTAATTAAATATTAGTTTCCCAATCCAGGCCAAGTTTTGTGATCTTGGCCAAGGTGGTTTGTTGCGAACAGTTGCGCAAAGTTCACATTATTATTATTTTTCATAGGTGCTGTGTAAATCATATCCATTGGAGTTCACATCATATTTTCACTATTGTCGATCATTAAGATTTGAGGACAAGCCGGACTATTCTTATTTGAAGAGGCTTTTCCGAGACTTATTTATTCGTGAAGGTAATGACCGTAAACTGTTATTGTGTCTCAGTTTCCAACTTCTAGTTGACTTTACCCACGGGATTTCTTCAATTAAAATACTTTCTGATCTGGGTTTGTTGAGTTCCTTGTCAAGTATTTCATCTTCAGTATGCACATGTTGCAATATCTGCATTTTGACTTTATTGGTGCAGGTTACCAATTTGACTATGTGTTTGATTGGACTATATTGAAGTATCCTCAGGTTGGTGCCAGTTCAAGAACACGAGTAAGTGTTTGCGTAACTTCATTTTGCGTTTTCTTCTTTGATAGGATAATATACTAGCTCATGCCTTTGCTTCCAGAACTCCAGTGGAAATGCAGGGGCTGGAACCTCTGGCGAAAGACCAGGAAGAACATCAGGTATATTTGTTTTACTAAAATGAGCTTCTGGAAATGAAGATTTTATTGTTCTCTTCCTTTCATTTGGCCACGTACTCCGATAGCTGCTTCAGTTTCAATTATGCTATTTGCGGGGAATGGATGACCTGTATTAACATATTGAGTTTCTCACGAAAATTTAAATAGTGATGCAGCTGGTGCCTGGTAGATTTATTGTTGCTTGTTTTTTATTTGATGTGGTTATGTCTTCCAGTGGGACATGACGTTCGAGACAGATTCTCAGGCGCTGTCGAAACTTTTTCGAGAAAAAATACTTCAGGGTCAGGTTGGCATGGTGAACATTCTAGACACAGGACATCAGATGTACCTTCATCCAAGGATGTGGTATTTTTTTCCTTTACCTACAACAAATTAATCGTTCTTCTATTTGTACTTGTATGGTCATGAGAGAGAGATTTTGGTTGGCAATGGGGATTGGTTAAACGGGAAAAAAAATCTGCTTCTGGTTCAGTATCTGAAAATAAGAAAATCTTTTACAGGGTATGATAGATGATGCATGTTTGGGTAATACTTGCATTTCATTTTCCTGGTAGCTATTTTTCTTTAGTCTATCTCTCTTCCTCTTATTGGCGTTTGTTGGGGAGTTGGGAGTTGAAGTGTGACTAATTTGATGTTTGGGTTCATCTCTAAGAAAATCTGATAGCTAAGTAACCTGGTGCTGCTATTTGATTATTTGTTATGCAATGTATGGCAGACAGGTCCTTGTATTGGCAAATTGTACTGA